GTTATCCATATACTGTACTCACGTAGTGCGTATGGTGTTTGCTATATTCTTAAAATATGTTACATCTAAAGGATCTATAAATATTCATTAGGTTTGTATATCACTGGTCAATTAGTCATTCAACAGACAGAGTCTTAAAATCTATGGTTTCTGAGTAACAAATCACCTAACAGTGTGTTACATATAAAAGAATTTCGTGTAAACGACGCAAAATATATTGCTTAACTGATCTAGGTAGGAAAAAAATGACATTTCATTCGGAAAGTATTTGTAGTGAATTTTCAAGAGTTAGTTTGTAGGGATTTGATTTGTTTCAAGTCCGATCACTCGCGGTCGGGAGTGAGAACAAATACTCACTGAATACGTTGGTTAGTGGTCGTCCTAAAATCACGAAATGGTAGAATTTAGAATTCATGGGCTGACCATTTTATCAGGTCCTAGAGGCTGAGTGGTCTACGAGTTTGTCTAGTAACAGGAAAGTCCTGGGTTCGAAACCCACTGAATGCGTACTGCCGACGAGTGCCGGAATAGGACGAAACAGTCAGCTGATCAGTACTCCCCTCTGGTTTTCAATGGTTCTCAAACTGATATCGATTCATGGTCAAATTTAAAATATTTATGATAAATTGATAGTTCATTCTTTAAGTCTTTTTCAAAAAGGACCTAAACAGTACATGGAAAATATACTTCCTAAATGTTGACTGTTATGCTAAACGTATGAGAAAGTGATCATCATGAGTCAAGCCTTATTGTTTTCGAGCCATAGATACACTGAATACATTACAATGAACCTTATCATTAGACTGTATGATATATTTTTAGCGAATAGTGGTAATATTTCCTTGTGCTAGATCTATCTCTAATTTCACATGACTTGAAACTGCTTTCTGAGACAGTTATTCAGTTTATTGTACTCGGTGGTACCGTTGATACAGATTCGAAGAAAGTCAATGGAAAGAAAACGCAATACTTTTTAGTATCTGAATGATAGTGCAATATTTCCTGATAACATGCAGGCTACTAAAGCAACGTTCATTTATTTGGTCGCTAAAATGTATTAATGTGATGTCCATTTTTCACAGTAAGACAGGCACATGCGTCTACGGGCACTCTTTGTTAGAAACAGTATGGATCGTTGATGCATATAGTTAGTAGTATGTCTTATGGATACTACTATAATAGATGGAACTAATTCTTATAATGAAGGTCAATATATTCTAATGTAGAACACTTCATTTGTGACCAAAGTAGCTTTGGATTTTGGAAATGCTAGCAGCTGCCGATACCTGTTCTCAGTCTTCGGAAAAATTGTGTATTACCTGTGACTAAAACCCGCCCGACTGTTTTAACTTTAGCCATTTCACCACGAAGTCATTCAGGGGACAAAATAATAATTGTAAGATAGATATGGAGAGAGAGCGAGAGAGAAAGTTGTGTATGAATAGTTGCATGTGTGTTCAGCAATCTGGGTCACATGATCGTAGCGGGCTTTGTAGTGTGCTGTACTGTATTGTTAAACATTGGGAGTGCAGTCAGTTGGCAGTGTTTGTAGACACATTGTGTTATGCCACTTAATTCAATGACTTCTGGTTACAAGGCGAGGTCCTGGGTTCGAATCCCGGTGGGTGCGCAGTGTTGAAGAGTCCCAAACTAGAACGAAACAGCTGTCCAGTACTCCCAGGTTTTCCAGTGGTTCTCTAACTGATGTCAGCTGATGATGAAATCCTCCATGCAATCAAACAAAATCCCTACAAAACCAATACTTCAGAATAATTCAGTTTAATTTGTAATCTGTTTAAGGGAGGAGTAAGCGAACAGCTGTCTACAACCCGTAGGTATTTTTAAAAAAATTTTAATTTTATTCTTTCCTGTTTATTAGGGTTGCAAAAAAAAGTGGGATAAAGATGGATGATGAGTCAAACATTAACTTACTAACTAATTGACCAATCATTTATTATAAAGTTATGGGTGAGAGTTTGTCTATATATATAAGGTCAAAATAAATGCAAGCGACAAACAACAACAGAAAGTTCATGGTCATATATAGGGTCAAATTACAATAAAGCTTTATATGTGACATTAGGTAAACTTAAATGATTGGATCGATCTGAGTTAACTAAATCGATAAGAAATTGTTTCTTTTTTTTGCTACATCAATTTTATCCCTCTGAACATTGGAGTCACAGTTTACTTTGATAAATCCGATACACTAGAATAAATTTGAATTCCAATAGGTTAATGAAATGCCGTCAATGTAGTCAATAAAAAAAATTAGGCTGCAGTTTGTCTAGGTTTTAACGTTATTATGTCTAAATGAAATGGTCACATGACACAATTCTTAATAAAATCCTGTATTCACCCACTGAAGTTCGAACCCAGAACCTTCCGGTTATCAACCCCTAGGACCCGAATGGTATACAAGCTTGTCTGGTAACCGGAAGGCACTGGTTTCGAACCCCAGTGTGGGTGCGTATTGCCGATGATTTCCAAACTAGGATGAAACAGCTGTCCACTACTCCAATGCTGGTTTTCAATGGTTCTCTAACTGATATCAATCAATCCGTGGGCATACTCGCAAACGAACTCTTGAAAATCCTGTATATTATTAATTTCTGACAACAGAAAAGCATTCGTTTAACACTCTTGTCAAAAATCGAAAAGGTTGTCTTGGTACTTGTCCTGTTTAACAAATTGATATTTCCCTACTCATTTTGGGGTGTAAAGTAACTTGATATTCCTAGTACGATGCTGGCAAAAAAGCCGAGATTGAACGTTGCTGACACAATTGGCAATGAGCCTATTGTGTGATGGAAAGTGATATTGCTTGGTTGCCCAAACCTTGTTAGGTGGAACGGGCTTTGAACCTAAAACCCACTGGTGGCTGGAAGCTGAGTTCCTAGACCAATAAACCATAGCTTCATTCAGGCAGAGACATAGGTACCAAAAAGTTGTTTTCAGTTGAAGACGAAGCTTCGACTTGTACTTGTTGATTAAATACAGGTAAACACAAACCAATTTTTCATAAAACGTTTGTAAACAAGAAAATAGGGTTAAAAACTGCATGTCTGTGTAATTTACTGACTATTTATGCAAGAGTTACTTTTTAAAATACTTTATAACTCATGCATCTTACTTAATTCCCTCTTAAACACGTTACAAAATACATGAATATAAGGTGGGGTCTGACTGACTAGCTGACTGGTTTCAAAAAAGGATTTTGCACAGAAGTGCAGCAGTCCGAGTTATCACACTCCATGTAGAACACAAAGGAGGGTGAAAGAGAGGTAAAAAGAGATTCGGAAGAATCATAACAAGTAGAAATGTGAAAGAGAAAGAATAGTAACATAGAGAAACAGGATATGACAGTTTACAAATAGTGAATGAACCTGCGCCAGTAAGAATTATTTTGTTCCATATGACGAATAATCTCCAGTCATCGGTTCTTAAAATCCCGAGTACCCCAATCAAGAAAGTTAGACCTCTTTACGTGGCTTAAACTAACTGTCGAAGATTTCATGGCCTGATTTCATGTTTTGGTTTGACCACCACTAGCTCTATACCAATCTGATCCTATGTGAGCTAACATTTCCCGTTGAGGAAGGCGTTGGTTAGGCATGCGTAACACATGCCCTAACCATCTCAACTGATGTGTCTTTACAGCCTTATCGACCGACTTTCCTTCCTTACCTAATACTGGATGCTTAACCTCAATACTACTCACCCCAATATACCATCTAACATGGGAGGTAGAACGTAAATACATATGATGAAAAACAGCTTGCCTTTTCATATGTTACACTTTCAATGACCATGTCTCACAACCATAAAGAAAGACGGAGTGAACTGTTACTGTGCACTATACACGTCCTTTGATTGATAGCCATCCGGATATCTTTTGTACGCTCGAGATGATGTAGGTGGGTAAATGACACACTATCCTTTTGTATCCGTTGTAGGATTTCGTCAGTGACCAGCCCGTTGGGGCTGATGCAACTTCCCAAATAAGTGTAGCAGCCAATATACTCTACCACTTCACTCCCTGTCTCTAAGCTAAGAGTTGATGTAGTCCAGTCCTGTAGCATCATCTTACATTCGACAAGGAGCAAATCGCATGCTGAAAATTTAAAGATTGCAGCTCAAGGTGTTCAGAAGACTCTGCATTTTGTCAGAGTCTTCACCAAGGTGGAATAATAATACGCTGAAGACATTCCATGCAACAGTACACAGATGTTGTAGAGTACAATTTCATTTCTTTGACATTCTGCTTAAACCTTTATATTTCCTAATATAGATACAGTGAAATAAATTTTTGATAAGATGATATCAGATGAATGATGACTCCCAGATAATAGAAGAAGTATTCGTTGAATTCTCTTCTTTATTTACCATTGCTAATATCGACAAGTTCATGGAACTATTATTCAGCGAGTGCTTATTCGTCTAGCATGTAACTACACAGTTTTTAATCACGAGGTTTAACTCTACTATGTATTACAAGAAGTGCTAAAGTTTAATGAAGGTGTGTGCGTCGGTGGGAATGCTCGCCAACCACGCCACACGTGGTCCGGAGTTCGATCCCCGGCTGGAGCACACCTTTACCTCACTTAGTCGGTTGTAACCCTGACAAAGAGAGAAGGTTGTAAGTAGGGCTAGCAACCCCAACCCATGAAAACATCACTGCTACTGAAACTGCAAAGCTGAAGCTTAAAGCCCTATGCTCCACTTGGAACGTAAAAGAAATTAAATTATAATTAAAAACCGAAGGCATAGTCTTTATTTGTAATTGTTTTCGATTTACAGTCATGTGTTTACAACTAGTTATCATTTTGTGGGTTGTTTGTAACTTGTCTAACTAACTTGATTGGATGGATAAGCTGTCGCACATTAGTTACTACTCATATTTTCAAATGTAAACATATACTGAGTTGCACGTGAAAGAAAAAGTTTACTGTAAATGTTTGTATTGTATTGTTTGTTTTTTTTCACCTTGTTTTTGTAAGGTCAAAATGAAGTGTCTCAATTAGTCGGTAATCTAGTAGATGAATATCGAAACAGAAAAGAACGTTTTCTTACAAGTCAGCAACAAAATTCAAAGTCAAAAACACCTACAGCTTATCCACCATTACGTTGTCTACAACTACATGGTTCTCTTCCTCAACACGAACAACTGCGTATCTTTGAACGGCCAACTAGAGCTTGTCGTAAGGTTGTTGTAGCTACAAATGTCGCTGAGGCGTCAGTTACTATTCCAGGCATTTCTTATGTGATAGATTCTGGCTTTTCTCGAATTCGAGCGTATAATCCTATCAATGGACTTGAAGCTCTGGTAACTATACCTACATCACAAGCGTCAGCACGACAACGTGCTGGGCGTGCGGGACGTACAAGAACAGGACAGGTTAGCTTTGTCTCATAAATGTTGCTTTATAGTTATTCTAAAAAGTATTATTAATTTGTTTCATTAACCTCCTTTAACACTGACAGGACGGTGTTATGTCCAGACTAAATCGATAGTCTGTTAGTCATGAATTTGAAATTTGAATAACAAACACTATAAGAACAACTTTTGCAGGATAAGATGAATTTATTTTATTTCATAGAATTTTTCTCAGCTTCATACAACCTAAATAATAATAAACTATACATACAATGAATGTGAGTGAATTTAAATCATACAATTATTGATTTCCTTTATGTTAGCCAGATAAACAACCAATCAAATTTCACCACGTTGATTGCCTTTTACTAATCAACCCAAAGTTGCGGTATTATACTTTTTTCTATGATTATTCTAATTCTATATTTGTAATTACAGTAATTCTCATTGACACGTTTGGAAATACACGTTTCCAATGTATAGTGTGTGAGTTTTTTTTTCGGGTCAGAGAAAATCTACTAAGAAATCGTGAAGCGTGCGTTATTATTGTTACGCTTAATTCCTTCAAAGAGTCAACAAACATAATAGAAGGAATAGTATAGAAGTTTTGTCCAACATCGGTTTATTGCTGCATGAATGTCGCATTGTAATTGTTTGTTAATTGGCACTGATATATCATTATATCATTATTATCCCCTTGGGCTCCGAGTGGAACATAGGATCTCAACAACACCTCAACAGTTCATTTTCTCCTGTTCTCTTCAGTCCTCTTTAGCTCACTCCACGATTACTCATAGGCTGTCATCCCCTCCATGTCACCCTCAGGGTCAGACAGCGTACAACTCGTCGTTTCCCATTCGGGTGTCACCCTAGGGTTTAGCAGGTGATGTCAACCAACAGCCTCCTCAGAGTGTATCCAATCCAGCTCCATTTTCTTTGGGATAGTTGTTGGACATTTAATAATACTAGTATTGCTTGTTTGTATCATATGTTTGTAATCGATTCGTGGGCGGTAATCAAAATTCTCCGCCTTCTATTTAACTTTGCACTTGTAGTTAAGGTATAAATATTCGAATGTGTCCCATATAAAGTATTCATTCTGGTGAATGTTTAACTAAAACATCTACTACCTTAATTATCTTTGATCCCTGCAAGGTTAAACTTCTAGAAAAGCAGCTTTCACATATATATTTACTTAATGTATCGAAAAACCGATAAAATAAAAATCATGTTATCACTAACTAGTCAGTCAGTAAGTGTGTACTCACATTATTATGTTGCCCTCTTTTCCACAGACAATCGTAATGCTAGGCGTCATGCGATTAGGTTAGAAAAGAGTTAGAGATGGTCAAACCAAAACCTGTCGTCTGTTCATGAGATCTTTGACAGTGAGGAGGTTCAGGTTGCTTGGTTGGAAACTCATAGGGTGCTAAGAACCAATGGCTGGAGACTTTTGATGATCTCTGAGGTCCATTAAACTCTGATATCTGATTACTAAAGAAAAATGGATATGTATCACTGATTAATAATATTTGGTCAAAATTCCCTATTGTCTATATTTTCTTATGGAGACGTTAACCTATGTTGTACAACTATTTACCCCCCCCCCCACACACACACATACACACTCTGTTTAAAGTGTTTAAAAAAGGTAGACCAATATTTGTAAGTCTGAGGTCAAATTTTGATCACAGCTCATACAATTTGTTTATTATACATGTTGATACCTGTTTCACGACTCATGACTGGACAAAGTTTTTAAAAACAAAAGATGTTCCTTTGATATATAAACCTCTGTTATGTTAATTTCGATTAATTTCCCTGAAGAAGTTCGGACCAGATTGCCGAACGAAACGTTGGAATTACTCATTTGAATCTCGCTGAGATTTTACAAATATAATTTTCTGCAAATAATCTACTTCTCACTCGGCGTCCAAATATTTTAGAACTATTCTGTCAAATCTTGACGACAGTTCATTTGAATTCTTCCATGTTGCTTTTCTTTCTCCTGTACATTCGTGCAGAGATGTGAAAGTAGGTTGTATTTGAAACATGTTATTTAGTCTATAAGTGGGTTTGAATTTTCATTATCACATATTTTCACCTACTGTCAGTAAGCAGTAATCATTTGGTAACAGTTAGTGAAGCAGAAAAACAGAAAAAGGTTGTTTTTTAGTAAATAAATGCTTGTTACTAGGCTGATCATTACTCTTTTTTTATTGATGTCTTTTTTTTTCATCAAATTACACAGGTCTATCGGTTGTATACAGAAGAGGCGTTTCATAAACTCTTACCACGTTTCACATTACCCGAGTGTTTACGTGTTGATCTGTCTGGTGCATTGTTACGCCTAAAAACTCTTGGTATTGATCGTTTGGCTCAGTTTGACTGGCTTGATCCACCGCCTCCATCACATGTTGGTCAATCAGCAGAACGACTTGTCGCTCTAGGTGCTCTTGATGCAAATTCTGGTCATCTTACAATTCCTCGTGGTCTGAAGTTGGCTGAAGTGTCTACAACATGCGGTTTAGATCAGCCGTCAGCAGCTGCTGCATTGTTAGGTGCATGTGATGAAGGATGCTCTCAGGAGGTTGCTGCTATTGTTTCACTAATGCAAGTGAGCAGCTTAATTTATTAAAGATTTTCAAAAGACCGTATTCTATGGCTGTTAAATTTCGTAAAATGATGTTGTTATATAACTATAAATTTATGTTTGGCATGCGATTCGCCCCTGTAAAATGTAAGATGATGCTGCAGGATTGGACTTCACCGACTCCTAGATTAGAAATAGGAAGTGAAGTGGTAGAGCACGTTGACCGCTTCACTTACTTGGGAAGTACCATCAGCCCAAACGGGTTGATCTCTGACGAAATCTCAGTACGAATACAGAGGGCTAGTTTCGCATATGCCAGTTTACGCCGTCTCTGGCGTAGACATGATAGCCGGCTGGTTATCGACCAAAGGGCGTGTGTACTGCTCGGCGGTCCGCTCCGTCCTTTTTTATGGCTGTGAGACCTGGCCATTGAGAGCGGAAGACATGAAAAGATTAGCTGTCTTCGATCATAGGTGTCTGCGTTCTATCTCCCGCGTGAAGTGGTATAATAAGGTGAGCAATATTGAGGTTAGGCATCGAGTGCTAGGTAAGGAGGAGAAATCAGTCGACGAAACTGTGAAATTGCATCGACTGAGATGGTCAGGACATGTGTTACGCGTGTATGCCTAGTCATCGCCTTTCTCGACTGTCAATGTTAGCTGATATAGGGCCAGGCTGGAAAAGAGCTAGCGGCGGTCAAACGAAAACATGGCACCAGTCAATGAAATCCACAACAGTTAGTCTAAGCCACGTAGGAAGATGTAGACTTCCTGGTTATGGTCCTCGGGACGGTAGAAAACAGTGGTTGGAAACGATTGGTGACATGGCTCAAAATCGTTCTCAATGGCTGGTGCAGATGCATCCACTCCTTGTGACTTATGATTTCCAATGAAACTGTTTTGTTCTTCGTTACTACTATTCCTTTGTCTCACACCTCTGTTTACTGTCTATATTATGCATTTCTTCTACTTTCTTCTCTTGCTTTGCGTGCTACATGAAGGGAGTGTGGCGACTTGAACTGGTGCACATATGTGCAAAGTTCTATGTCGAAAACCGACCGACCGAACTATAAATTTATAAATGATTACGTACTCCCTTTTATTTTTCTAGATCCAAAGAGTATTTACTGTCTCCGATTACAAACGCACTGGTGACCGTATTCGTAGACAGACATTTGGCTGTCATCAAGGAGATCATTTAACAGAGCTGAATGCATTTGTTGCTTATGAACAGCAGTCAAAAGTATTGTCGAAGTCAGAACTTCGTACATGGTGTCGTGAGGTTGGTTTAAATGAACGTGGGTTGGCACATGCTATTATCTTACGTGATCGAATTGGTTCTATGTTTCGTCGTTTAAAATTACCCTGGGTGAAAGCTGAACCTGAAGGCAATCCTAATCCAATACTTCGATCTCTTGTACGAGGTTTCTTTCATCAGGTGATTTGATTTACTTTTTTCTTTAATTCTGTTTTTTTTTAAATGACTGGCTCAAGATTGTATTAACTTTGTGAGTGCTCACTGAGATAAATCATACTGATTCACCTTTAATAAAGTACACTGAAAAATCCGAGTTACGTAAATCAATAATTGATGGTTGTCGTTATTGACTGTTGATTTGGGCCACTTAAGAAATTGTGAGTTGCGTGAAAGGCTAGAATGACTGATCCCACGATGATAAATAGTTTAGAAAAAAACTCAGCAGTCGCACTGCATGCATTAACACACAACCACAAAATAGGTTGGGTGGGACAGAGTCAAAATTCTAAGAAGTAATATAGGTAGGTGGAGAGCGAGAGAGATTGATTACTGAATCCTGCCTGGTTCATTGAGTCTACACCCAACACATGCAATAGAAGTGACTCAACGCAAATATCAGAGATATGGAATATTTTATTACCGGTCAAATCAGAGAATAATAAATAATGTTAAAATGTATTCAATTCACATTCTAACATTCTAACAAGTTACTTATTTTTACTGTAAAAAAACGTCTTATTTCGTATCTGATTGTATTTGATTGATAACGCTAATATTATTTCTGAATGTACTTTATCCTATATTGATTTTATTCAAATGTCTAATCAATGTTTACTTATGTTGTGTGAGTGACTTGAAAGGATTATGAGCAATAATTTGTGCTCGGAACGCGGTCATCAGTAAATATTACTGTGTAACACTGTGAGACTTTATCGAAATGAAATCTTATCCATAGTGGAGTTATACTCTACCACAGTGCCCAAGTTTTATACTTATATCAATAATACATGCGAGAAAGTGTGTTTACTAAGTATTATTGGTTGAGAACTCTTCATGAAGTGGTTAAAAATTCATAAAAAATGACCCCCTCCCTATGTATTTGTTCCTTGTCATTTTCCAGATTCTAAAATGTCTCATTAATCTTCATTTAACTGTTCTCTTCGTTACACTCATGTCTGTCTATTGTAGTATCATCATTATATTCCATTGCTATTCTTCTATTTGTGCCTTCTCAAAATATGCCATTTTTAACTGGTATACCTTCCTGTGTGTGTGTGTGTGTGTGTTTCAAACACAGAATGAGCGAACATTTAAAATTGAACTAATAGAAAAGCGTGAGTATAGGGTAGCGATGTGACCAGCTCTTCACCATCTCAACTGTTGGCTTTTCGAGAAAATCTATGACGATTTCTGTGTAGACTAAACTGCTGTCATGTTTGAGTTATGTCGTGATGTTTTTACTCTTTTCTACTGTACTTATATTTAATTGCGATACACTGAGAATCTGGTCGTCAACACTATTACAGTCTTGAACACTTTATCTGATCAAAGTTCACTACTTCAATTGATTTCCTTTATGCACAACTAGAGAGATACAAAGTTCATTGTACTCATTAAGTTTATTGTATTCCGTAAAAAGTGCTTAAAATACGTTTTTGAGTAAAATATCTGAAATGTTCTTGTATCTTCTGTCATCAATAACTATGTTTCACAGTCGTAGATAAGGGTAGATTGAAATTATGTAGCATAACCTTCCTTTATAACTGTTATTGTCAGTGATAAACTTCATGTTACGCTAAAAGTTTTCTGGTTAGTGTGACACGTAAAAAGAGTTGGATTGGTACTGTTAAATTATGCCAGTTGTATTAGATGGTTGGAGGCAATCGGCCACAGAAAGCCTTGCTTCATCTTGGTTTCGTGCTAGTTGGCACTTACCAGTTACCAAGGCGTATCTGCAACCTTGAAGGGACTCATGTCCCTTCTGAGATTCGAACCCGCGTCACCCAGTGCTACCAGCAGAGACGTTACCACTGAGGTAGCTATTTGGGTTCTTGACTGAGCTCCTGTAGAACTGTAGTGGCTAATTTGATTGGACACTAGTAACTAGTGTTGGGATAATTTCTCTTAAAGTTAGAATATTTGATATAACACCGTGTAATGCTACTGTTATTTACCTTCTAAGAAGAACTGGTGCCTATTTATTATATCAAAACTGAGACGAATCCAAAAGACTTGTCGACAAAATAAAACTGCATCATATTACGTCACATACAGCACTAATAGTGATGATACTAATAATGGCTTCACTCAGGACAGTGTTTATACATAATGTACAAAAATTTTCAGCGGAAATAATTGCATAATATTTTTCCTTCCTCCAGAATCTTCAAATAAAGTATTAATTGACAAGTAGATCCTGTGACACATTACTCTCTGACTTGGAGCACAAACCAGTCTATTATGATGCTTCTGCTTTGTCTCTTTCGAGAAATTTACGACATTTTGTTGAAAGTCAATTGTATAATGTTTAGGAGTACATTTTGAGACCCAAGCGCATAACTCAAGGACAGTTATTTCATGTATTGGGATACACTGCCACTCATGATCGGGCCTTTTCTCAAGTTTAGTAGAAACTTGCGAATCAGCAGGTTGTAAAATTTTTAAATACTCGCAAGAATAAATTATACGATTACTGGTCATATTTTAATCGATTAAAATAATGCAAACGAGAGAAATGGAAGTTTTGCGTAGCTCAGGTTTTAAGCAGGCTACCAGTGTTAAAACTCAACGCTTACATTGGGAAATTGGTTGAACAAGACAAAATTTAATGCTCACTCATCTGTGTCCCTAACTGTTATCGTGAGTTATGTGTAGAATTGTCAACTTATTTATCAATAGCTGGAAACTTTCGACGACGTGTGCGCATCGATCAATTTGTCTCAGCTGTATTTACATCTAAATTTTAAAAGACTTAACGATACCACCTCCCTCTTTATTTTTTATCTTACTGAAATCCAAATGTTAAGCTTCACTGTGTCGAGATGTGTTCATAGTTTATTGATAAAATATAGAATACAAATGAGACAATAATCATGATTGTGTCTAATTATTGTCTTGAGTAGTACAAATATCACTGCTTTTTAATACTTGTGTACAAGTTAATTATCCTAGGAATACTGTGGCAGTGTGTTTCTGCTTATCAATTTACTTTATGTATCTCTATTTAGAACTTTTCTGGTTACAGGATTTCATCATGAGCTGATATCAGTTAGAGAACCACTGGAAAACCGGCAGAGAGTACTGGACAGCTGTTTCGTCCTAGTTTGGGACTCTTCATCAGTACGCACCCACCGCTAGAGTGCCAACCCAGGACCTTCTGGTTACAAGGCGAGTTCGTGGACCATTAAGCCACTGGGATCATTGATATAAGAATAAAACTTGGGCACTGTGGTAGAGTGTAATTCCATTATGGGTAAATTTTATTTTGATAGAGTCTCACAGTGTTATACAGTAATATTTACTGAGTAAGCCACTGGGACCCGATTCAATGGCCCAGAAGGTCCTGGGTTTGAACGCCGGTGGGTGCGTACTGATGAAGAGTCCCAAACTAGGATGAAACAGCTATCCAGTACTCCCAGGTTTTCCAATTGTTCTCTAACCAATGTCAGCTCATGATGAAATCCTGTAACCAATCAACCAAATCCCTACAAACCAATACTTGAAAAACATTTTTGTCATCAATACAACACTGGATAAATAAAAGAGTAACCAGTGCGGTTGAATAGCCGTTATATGCCATATATAACCCCCCAATGATTTCTCTAAAGACGGAACTCTGATTCGAATGTTTTCCTTTCACCTTATAATTAGTTGTACTTTGTTACTGTTTACTGAATCTTCGCACAAATGAAGTTTAACAATGAATGCACTCTTGATCCAAATTGGTCATTTCAAGGAGACTCACATATTAATATTGGAAATGTGTATTTCCTAACGAGCCAGTAAGAAGTACTGTAATTACAACAGTATAACTACAATATTCATAAAAAGGAGTATCATGGACTGATTACATACTGTAAAATAGGGCCGATTATTGGCCGGCGGCAATCAATATGGTGAAATCTGATTGGTTGCCCATCCGATTAGTGTATAAGAAATCAATAATTGTATAATTTAAATTCTGACTAACAGACTATCGATCTAGTCTCTGCAGTTACACATGATATATACTTAATTTCATGTGTTCTTTTCTTTTTTTCAACAGGCTGCTCGTTTAGCTCCGTCTGGATCGCATTATCTGACTATCAGAGGAGATCATCAATTGCGTTTACATCCAAATTGTGTCTTATACTCATCTACATCACGTTGGCCGGCGTACATCCTGTTTACAAATGTTTTTCTTACACCCAATTTAGATGATGGTAATAATAATTCTGGAAAAATTGGAAATTTTGATAAAAATGATCCATCTAGTACATGTGTCAGTGGTGTTAGTGTTATACAACCGGATTGGTTATTAGAATTAGCTCCGCATTATTATCAGTTCGGTACAGACAGAGAACATTTAGAGCATGCTATACGAAGTAAACAATGAATAATGTATATATAAGTAACTGTACATATAACTGTGTGTATACACTGTCGCACACTGTAAATTTACTATTTTGCTGTGAGATTTACCGACCACAATGTAAAAAGAAATACCTGTTAATTATTATTATCATTATCTGTGTAAATACTCTTGTTTTTACATGTGTACAAATTCCATCCCAAGGTTTCTGATAATAAAAGATTTTATTTTCTAATGTTTTTTGGATTGTTTGGTTGCTTACTTGTAAATCATGACAACTTGCATTAACTTATATGACAGATAAACGTCTGCTGTGACAGCTTACTGCAGAACAATACTACTTTCCGCTTGTGTTTATCCTCTACTGTAAAGACCTAATTTGGAATCATTTGTAATTTAAAGTCTGAATGTTTTTTTCTTCATGAACTGGTTGATATCCGCCTCCATTCGTTCAAGGAGACCCAGATTTGAGCTATTCAGCTTACTAGTGTGACTGACTGACTGACGGGTTTCAACATAGAACTTTGCACCGAATATTGAGGTTAGGCGTCGAGTGCTAGGTAAGGAGGGGAAATCAATCGACGAGGCTGTGAAGTGTCGAAAACAAACAGACTTTGCACCGATGTGCAGCATTTCGAGTCGCCACACTCCATGTAGCACACAGAGCAAGAGAAGAAAGTAAAAGGGAATGCAAAATAGGGACAGTAAACAGAAATACGAAGCAAAAAGAATAGTAATGTCAAAGAATAATATAGTTTTATTGGGTATTATAAGTCACAAGGAAGCTTACTAGTGTAACAGCAGAAGGTAAGACACGGAAGCAAAGGTATGTATATAGTTTTACATTCCTTAGCCAATCAATAAGCTTGGGATTTCGGTTTACATTAAACGACGTGAATTAGAATGTTCACATATGCATAGTATTCTGTCGTTAATGCCGTATTGAATTGTGGGAATATATATGAGAATAATATTCCGTTGGCAGACATTGTCTGTATCACACCGCCACACTAGTACTTCATCTTTCCCTTTTTTCTTTTTTTGATGTTCTAGTTAGTGTTATTTAATACTGATAACAGTTTACAAGTCACACAGTTATCCGAAAGAAGCAGTGAGTTACATTGCCTATACTGACCATCGGCATTTAAGGGCACTAAATGCTTCTTTTACCTTCCTTTAAGATAATATTTTACATGGGTTCTGGATTTCATTGTGTCATAGTGATTCAATAGTTTAAAAAAATAATCTTTTCACCGTGTCTGTAAGCGGAAATGTTAAACGGGCAAGTAAAACATCAAAAGATTTGGCATGAAAGTTCACATCTGTTAGATTCCGCTAAAATCTAAGACAATAAAACATAAGAAAAGTATATTAGGCTTTTAACAGAGTGATACCAGACACTGAATTCTGTGTATAATGTAAATACGAAGATCATTACCCTTCTGTCTGTTTACCCATTTTGAGTTATTGATCGCTGTCAACCACTTTGGGAGTCAAAAAATTCAAGTTTGAATACGAATCCATCCATATCATTTAGAAAATTATTGGAAATCAGGGAATACCGGAATGCTCTTTTGTCATCGATTGGAACTCTTCAGCAGTACACCCCCGTAACCCTACCTGGAGTTAAACTGAAGTCATTTCGCAAGCAGAACTTGACATCAGTCAAATACCTGCAAACCATCACTTGAAAAAGTAATCTAAGTGCTCACTAGTGACTGACTGAAGGATGAAGTTGCCTGATGCTCTGACGAGAAGTCGTGGTCAGTGGGGTCAAGTAAGTTGATTGTGAATACAAATACTCGCTGATTATATCGGAAAACAGTTGTGCTATATAGAATTTAATTTGTGGATACTGACACCTGTGGAATCCAGGATGCGCGTTTCGTCCTATTTGGGACTCGTCATCTGAACGTGCCTGCATTTCCCAGTGAGTGATGATGTTCCGAAAGAGGCTCTAGTGGACAACGCTTTGACGTTTGAAACTATGCGCAGTGGGTTCGAGCCTCGGTGGGAATATCATCACTCACTGGAAATGCAGGCACATCCAGATGACGAGTCCCAAATAGAACGAAGTGCGCAAATTCTAATTAAATGCCCAGACATCGTCGAAGCATCTGCACAAGAAGCCGACATGTCAACCTTAGACCGAGCATTTTGGTCCAATCAATCGACGGGAAAATCTAGAAAAAGATTTAATTAAGTTGTGCTTTATGTCCTACATTGTTACAAGTTAGAATTCATGGGCCATTCAATATTATTTCAGTGGTTAATTAGTCAGAGAGTTCTACTTGTAATCTGAAGACCCTGGATTCGAAACCTGGTCGGGTCATGGATGTGCACTACTAAGAAGTCCCGAACTAGGACGAAGCAGCTGTCTAGTCTTCCCGGGTTTTTCACTAGTCCTCTATCTGAAGTCAGTTCGTTATCAGTCTTAGAATCAATCAAATCGCTGTAGAGTAATACTTGGAAAAATTCATGATTTGTTATTATCACTCTCTGTCATACATCTTTTGCAACATAGTCTCACAACTAGCCAGCATGAATGTTTTATCTGAATGACTACTTATATTCAATTAGGATATTGTATTTATACTACTGAAATCCATCTGAGTGTTTTTTGGTGTTAGAGTGAATCATCGTCATTATCATCATGATATATAATTCACTGTGAGAAAAATAACTATTATCACATTTAATAAAGCTGATTTTATTGGTTCGAGCATATCTCGAGGGTCGTATATTCTCTGTCTTGTTGCTTTAAATAGTTTAGAACTAAACATAAAATACAGTTGCTTTAGATGAGAGTAGTGTTAGCATCGTGTTAAGGTTTGTGAGTTGTGACGTTGTCACCTGATTCATAAGTTCACGACATTATATGTGCTGATAATTTAAAATGACGTGGAGTGTGCTCAACGTAACCTGGAAAAATACTGTGTAATAAGAAGTTTTTAAATTATGTCGTGTTATCCTGATTTACCGGTTATTTCGTTGCTTCCTAAATCTTCTCTTAAACCATCTACGTGACGTTATATCACTTTCTGTGTCGAGGGAATCATACACATCCTGAGTTAGTAGTCAAGGAAGAAACTTCCTACTTTGATTTTTAGCCTTAGCAACAGGTACAAACCAATAAACGGTTCGGAATACTATCAAAACAAATGACAAAGACAGGAGAGTTTGGAAAAAAAGGCCGAAAAATATTTCCAGTGGTCAAGAGGCATATTGCTGAAAGGTTGAAGGTTTTCGATGCTTCATAGTAGCTCTAAACATGTAGACTTATATCTTCCAGAAGTGTTTTTGTGCTGTGTGATTAAAAACGCTGAGTATTATCTGAAGTTAAACAACATATGAACGCCATTCGTGTTTAAAAAAGCTCTATTACCAGCCATAGAAGACCTTAGGAAAAGTTAAATATGTGTATGGCGAGAATTCTTTCTAATCATTTTATCCATCGTGGTTAGTCTCAGCTCAAGTGCTGATTCGCTTATTCAAAAGTATTACCTTGATAGCATGTTATTTTTATTTTCATACAACACTTCAGCTAGAACCCCACTATCACAGCCTACCAGACGCTATGGCAGAGATGACCTTTCAATCTTAAGTTTTACTATAACAACCTTTGTATCATAATAGTAAGCAAGTTTTCTCTTAAAAAAAGACACATAAACTATGAGTTAAAGATGCAAGTTATCGATCAGCAGAAAATCAATTATGCCTCCATCGACTGTATAGTGAAATCAGCTAACTGGATCCAGAAATGTTAATTCATTCCCCCTTCACTTATCTAGATAACATCGTTCCAACTACATGCAGGCGGCATGGATGACTATGTCATGGGTAGGACCAGAAAGGTAAGATGGACATTCATCACTCTGAAATCAATCTGGAAATCTTCTACACTCAGACAACATAAAGAACAAAATTCGGATTTTCAACACTGATATTAAGCCAGTTCTTCTATAAGGGTCAAAAATCTGGCTTACGCGTCGCTTAACGTATTCCTAACAGGCTTCAAACTCTTACCAACAGCTACCTTCTCTGGTTCCATTCTGAAGATCAAATGACCGACCATAAAGAATTAGCAAAAAGGAACTCTGAGAACGAACCAACCAAGAACCTACTGCTCAACAAATATGGAGAAGGAAATAGAGATAGATTGGGCAAACTCTGAGGAGACCGTCGAGTGGTAACGCGTGTCAGACCATCATTCGAATGGAAAACCACGAATTGGTTGTGGATGTGATGGTGACACGGAGGAGATCGTGTGACGAGGAGATAAGAACCTATGGGCAATAGTAGAATGAGCTAAAGAGAACAAAATCAATTGGAGATGCTCCACTCGGAACAATAATAAGTGGCAGATATGATTAAATTGTAGACGGAGTAGAAGTGGGTGCTTCATCAACTGACTAGTTTACTGTTAAAAGACGGAAAACGACGAGAATCATGTAAAAATAGCATTGCACTAATAATCAGCCTAAAGATAATTTAAGGTTTCCAGATTCTTGATAAATCAAAATTTTTGAATACAGTATAAAGAACTACTTATTATCATCTAAACAGGGTATTAGTAATTCGTGTTTAGACAAACGACTGACTACAAATGTCAGAAGCTGTGGGAATGCATCTTTATTCCTTATGCCCCGAGTGGGACACAGGGTTCCAGGCTATTTTTGAAGCTGCATTACAGGGTGGGTTTGCCGCCCTCCCTCCCAACAATCTCATTTTTTTCCGGATTTACTGTCGTCTAGTAGACTGGGTAGGCGAGCTTTAGAACTGGGTCAGCCGGGGGAACCAAAGTTGGGCCATTTGCGTGGCTGGCCAGCGTTCTACCACTGAGCCAACGACGTACACTTTAGTATATTTAACTGTCCTCTCATTCCAATAATGTTTATCCTTGAGTCTTGGAGAAGAACAGTCTTCTATGCTTTGCGTGATACTGTAAAATGTAGTTCCCTTAAATGATGTACTTGTATGTATGTAGAGGAGAAAAGTCGTCTATAAGGTAGGAGTTTAATAATTACAGTTCAACGTAAGTTGGAAAAATAGCTCCATTGACTGGTAAGGCTTTTCTAAACAATTTCAAACAGCCAATAAAATTTCACAGAATAACTAGATAAAAATTATGATCCTGTACATATCATTAAGTTTTAACATAGCGAAAGATTGAGTAAAGAATATTCTTCTCGATAACTTCCTCACCTGTCTCCACAGTTATATATACACTTAAG